TTTTTTTTTTTTTTTTTTTTTTTTTTTTTTTTTTTTTTTTTTTTTTTTTTACATATAATATATAATAGAAGAAATAAAATAAAGATTAAAAAATAGGATTTCAAAACAATTAACGCTACATTTAATTTTCACGTCTTATTAATTAATTTAAAAGATTCAAATATTTCAAAAGAATAAATGTAAGAGCATGCCCTAAACCACAATTAATTTCCATGAATTATCACGTCTTTTTAATTAATTAATTACTATTACTGTCACTTTATATTTCGTTGAATCAACTAAAAAAATTGTTTACCTTTATACAAAAAGAATTAAACGAATATTGACTAATTTAAATCAAACACAAGAGGGTTTTTCGAAAAAGAAAAAAATTCAAAAGCAATTTTAGGAAAGAGACGGAATATATTTCTCTCCGATTTTACTACTAAAATTGCACAAAAAAATATAAAATAAAGATTTTGGGAAAAAAAAATCCTTACCGAAAAAGGAAAAAAAGAACGAAATTATATTTAAAAAATAATGGTTATGGAAAAGGTTCCTTATATACTTTTAGATTAAATTTTATAGTTGCAATCGAATTAATTAAATTTTCAATTTTTATATTCTATTACAGAACTTCCATTAATCTTATATATTTTCAAATATCTAAATTTTAGTTCATATGATTTTAATAAATGGATAAATTATTAATCAAATACGCAAATTGTTTGAATTAAATTTAGGCAATAAAAAATATATTTAAGATTTTAAATTTTGAAACAAAAATTTCAGAATTGAATTTTTTTAAAAAGGTATAAAATTGAAGAGGCGAAAGAGAAAAGAAATATCGTAATTAGTGGGTTGGTTAACAGTTAATGATCATAATTAAGAAACAAGCAGAAGAAAACAGAGGAAGTTGAGAGAGAGCGAAAAAAAGAAGCAGTCGATGAAAACGATGAAAAATCAAAGCAATCGATACTTACTTTCTGATCAAGATCAGCCTTGTTGTGGCGAAGATACCGATGAAATCCATGCGTAATCGCAACACGAGCAAGCTTTTCGGTGTCCACATTCGCCGCTCGGAGACGAGTCAGTGAACCGGGCGACAGATTCGGATTCGAGAAGTATTGCTCTCTTGTTATTAGAAAATTCAACACCGAATCGCCTACGTACTCCAATCGCTCGAACGACGAGCAATTTTCCGGCGAATACGACGCGTCTGTGAAAGCCTCTTCCAGCAATCTCTTGTCTCGAAACTCGTAGTTCAAAATAGCTTCCATTCCATCCAGACTCGCCGCCGTTGACTCGCCGACTCTGCCTTCCTGCTTCAACAAATCGACGCCGTCTCCTCCTCCTTCCATGAAGGAAATTTAGGGATTCTGGAACGAAATTTTAATTTAATTCCGTGGCCTAGGAGTATTCTTTTTCCCCTCTCTCTGTGTGTGGCTACGCTGTATGAAATACCTCTCGTCCTTCCGCCGCTACAAAGGGCAAGAGACACCGTATTTATACAATTCAATAAATGGTTGCCGTTTTGATTGAATATTCATTTGATAAACTATTTTAAATTTGATCTAATTTATTAAATTTAAATTTGAGTTATCTTTTACTTTTCAAAAATATTTCGAATTTTTATTTTATCTTTTCTCATGATAATGCCAATATTTATTTATTTAAGTTGAATAATATTTATTAGTTAAAGGGAAGACTTTTTCTCCACCTAAATACAAAATAGGGAGGACCTTATCAATAACACCTTAATAAGAGAGAGAGATAGTCATGTGATGAGGGATTAATAATGTTATTATTATAAAGTTGAGAATCATGTGAAATCAATAAATACATTTATTTTCCTTTTTGAAAAAATAATTCCATCAATATAACATATATCTAAGTTTATTGCTCCTGATTACAAAAAATATTTATATTTAGGGTACAATTTGTCCATATTAATTAGATTCAAATAAAATAAAATAGGAAAATACTATTTTGACCCCCTAATATAATAAGAAATACTCTCTCTGTCTCGTCTCATCATTGGGCCTGTGACCCAAGGTCGCCCCAAGTATAGCTTCATCCAAGCTTACATTTATTCATAATTAATAAAAGTATTTTGAAAAGTGAATGGGCCACCCGGACATATGACGGCTGGACCATGAGCATAGCTATTGAACGTTAGATTAGCGTCACCCATAATATACACATTGTTTTAAGCACATTGGCTTGGGCTAGGGTCCAGCTTTAGCCTACAGCAACTTCCATCACTAGCTATCGTTATCATTATTGCCTACCGCTTGACAATAGTGAACAACTATGGGGCTGTATTGACGAAATCCAATAGTGAACAACTACCCGAAAGTCCAAGGATCTTTAGTACGCTACTCAATCCTACATCCAAACCAACCGCCTTCCCATACGACTACCTTCACTCTAGCCGAAGACCCCACTGTAGTATGCAGCAATAAGACGTCCAGAAGCCTTTGTGACACTAGTGTTACACGGAAGTTATAGGTGAGAATTGGTTTGATGCTTCTAGCAAAACCCATTTGGAGGGTGTGACGAGCCATGTGTAGAGGACCCGAGTACATATTCACCACTTTAATAAATAAATAAATAAATAAAAGAATTTATAAGACAGGATTAAAATGAAACTCATATTAATTAAAAAATTCCAAATTTGAAGAAGACAGCAATATGATGTGTCAAAGTTATGGGTATACCAACCATCTCTTTGTCTCCTCTTTCCATCTCTTTATCACACTTCCTTTCTACATCTCATTCAAACCTTCTTTTTAATTATATATATATATTTTTTGAAGGTAGAAAATGAAGTGAGTAATTATACGAGGCATAGGATTATTATTGAGTCGAGATCTTCCTTCACCAACTTCTACCTTACTCCATCATAAACTCTCATAATGGTCAAAATTCTCTTAACTTTTTCGACTTCTATAAATATATTTGTATGTGTCACGAATTCAAATTCTCATGATACGAATATAATATTATCTTCGGAATAAAATAAAAAAATTAAAAGAAAAGGAAAAGTGAGCATAATTAAAGTGAAATATTTGCATTCAAGAAGGTCTATAGCACACACTTAGCTTCCTTTGCAATTCACACTGAGATTTAATGAAAAAAGAGGACTGTGGCCTCCATAATCAAACCTAATAATTACATATATATATGTATTTTTCTATGTAACTTATACAAATATTTTATAAATAAGTGAATTTTTTTTCTTATTTTTGGTTATTATATACTATTTATTTCTTCAAAATCTGTCAAAAAGGAATGATTTAGGGTACGAAAACTACTCAACGAACCCACTAACCAAAATGGGAAAAAAAAGGAAGAAGCTTTTATGAGTTCTATATATGTTAGTCTTCCTCCTTCCTCAACCAATGCCTTGTCTCCACGTGGCATGTTACACTTGATTAAGATATTGTGCCGATAATTAGACTAGTTTATAAACTCAGCATTTGGTTAATTAATTATTTAGCCGACCATGTTTTAGAATATAAGCATCGTATGATCATAGTGTCTTTGATTAATTTCCTCTTTAATCAAGTGCGTCGGCGTCAAATCTTTGACTTTTTTTTAATTTTAATTTGATTATGACTAAACTACCTCCCGTCCCACTTGATTCCACGCCTTAAATCAAGTGGCAAGTACTGGTAATTTAGTTTCGAATGTAAGGGTATTTCCGTCCTTTTTCCACATAGAGACAATTCCCAACTCGATTTAATTTCTCATGTGTGTGAATCAGTGCGTGTTTTAATCCTCTGCACGTCGCTTTCGTATGACCCCACCATCAGACCCTAATTTCACTCCCTTCAACGGCTCCGATCATCCCAAATCCAAATGCTTACAGCGAAGCGTACGTACGGGAACATAACCCCCCATCTTATATATCAGAAATCTGGACGGCTACAATCCGAACATTTTATTTCTTCATTTTCCTTCCAGAACATGACTCATTTCCACATCAGTCTCGTTCTCGCCATTTTCCTTCTTCTCGCTCCGACCACCACCGCCTCCGCCGTCGCCCAGCCAAGGATTCTGATGAGAAGACAAGTGGTTTTCCGGCCGCCGTCACCGTCACCATACAAATTCACAAACTATGAAGAACAAAAGCGAAGAGTCCCAACAGGATCAAACCCTTTACACAACAAACGGTGATTATTATCTCACAGACTTCTAATATTAAAACTATATTTTTACTTTTTATTAATTTACCCACTTTATTTTTTATTTTTACTTTTCACTCCCAAGCTAAACTGGGTTATTTACAATTTATGTCTAATTTATAGAAGTTTTTAGAGAGAGAGAAAGAGATTAGGGCGTAGAGATGTTTTTCGAGGAAACCCATGTAGAAAATTTTGGTGTTTGTAATTTTTGCAGGTCTCATTATACAATATTAACCCATGTATATTAAATAAATAGACAAAATTTTCATTATTTCTTTCTTTGCTTTAGTTACGTGAAATAATTACTCTTTGAAGTCTCTACCTATGATAGTGAATGCATGTTCAAATGTCTTCTTGAAGCTACCTCTGGTAAAAAAACACTCTCACATTTTTAAGCGGTTGAAGAGTCATTTCTAATGGGTAGAGTAGTAGCTTTTCCTATCATTTAAACTTTCGTGGCGGGTTTTTAAGGGTTGATCAACCTCAACATCGGTAATATGAACAAAACCCATCATAAAATTCGAAGGTAGATTCAAAATTTTTATGTTTAACTAAAATGTAAAAGTTTCTTCATCGATCATTAAATATTCAATTTTAATATTCATAATTTCCCATCATCTTCATCATCGATTTTACAGATTTTACAGAGGGAACAGAATATATGTTGGGGGAGAGAAATCTGTTTCTTAGATCCATGGTAAAAAGATCTAAGCTTTGTGATTAAGAGCTACAAAACTTAGGCTAAATATGGCAATGGAGGGCATTAATAAATGTTTGTATAAAGAAATTCAATATAATGTTAAGAAATTAAACCTAAAATAATAATTATTAGGAGGAGGTGTTTGGAAGTGGGGGCAATGGTCCACCATAGATGTGTAGTATATTTGAGTGCTAACCACTGTGAGGAAATTGGGCTAATGCACTTTCCAAACAACCCCTTCCACCAACCACTCTTTATTTTCTTTCTTCTCGGGTTAGTTTTTAAAATGTGTATGCCGACCTGAAAAAATTTAAAATTATTGTGTATTTCTCCCACACGAGTTTGAATTCGATCATTTTTTTTCTTTTTGCAAACCTTTTCAGGGTCGATGGCTAAAGTTTAAAGAATAAAAATGACGAAAAGGTCACTCGGGATTGTTAAGTTTGTGTTATCTATAGTTAAAAAATCAACTTTATATTTAATATAATTTTTAATTCTTTTTTAATAAAAATGATTACATGTATAAATTAACTAATATATAAGTTAGCTGTTAATTTTGACTCATAGTAAACTTTTTTTTTTTTTTATAAATATTTTAAAGAGAGAAAAAGAAACATTTAATATATGATGATGTGTGCAATTATGAAAGCAATACGTCAAAAATATTTAAAATATAATTTTGGATTAAAGTAAATATTAATATATACTATTAATGCAAAGATTTACTTATTTTATTAGAAATCATGAACACTAAGTAAGATCTTGTGGTATGAACACTACATACGATCGTCGAACCGTTGATTAGCGGCTGAATTTCACAATTTTCTTAAATTTTTATAAGAAAATCCAAGAAGGAATGCGAAATTTGTAAAACTATAAATAGTTCTTGTTGTAAGATCTTCAGCCACTCAAAAGCGCAACCGAATTCTGGCAAATTGGCGTAGGCAGGAGAACGATGAGCTTTTTGGCCGGAAGATTAGCCGCCAAAGAGGCGGCATACTTCATTCAGGAATCCAAACACGCCGTCGGCCGCCTTGCCCAGAAATTTCCGGCGCAACCACCGCCTTCTTCCAATTCCACGACGGACGGCGAGTCGCAAGCCGACATTCTCCCTGAGGTCTTAAGGCACTCTCTGCCCTCTAAAATCTACAGGGAGCAATCTGCAGACTCCCATGGATCGCTCTCTACTTCGAAATGGGTTCTTCCTTCGAACCCTAATTACCGCTCTGTATCTTCAGATTCTCTCAACCCTCTTAGGGCTTTCGTATCCCTTCCCCAGGTTTCATTCGGCCCCAAAAGGTTCATTTCTCTCCCAATTTTATTCTATTTCTCCCAATTTGATTTGTTTTGGCTTGGATCATAAATGTCATGTTGAATTCAGGTGGGAATTGCCTCAATCTGGAAACTCAGTATTGGCCTCAACCGCTAATGACTTGCGGACCGACAAGCATACTCCGATCAATCCTGAGAAGTTGAAGGCAGCTGCTGAAGGCCTTGCACATAGTAACCTCCTAAAACAGAACACTTCTCTGTTTCTCTCCCTGTTTCTCATCCTAAATCATTAGACCTTTCGTATCCGTGTAGTTGGAAAGGCATTTGCTGTAGCTACTGCGCTCGTCTTTGGTGGTGCCACCCTAATCTTTGGAATCACCATGTCCAAGCTAGATCTCAACAATGTAAACATGGACAATTCTTGGTGATCTTTGTATATGCACATACATTTCCATTTAACTTTGATTATGACAGGCCAATGAGATTCAAACAAAAGGAAAAAGCATGATTGAACCAAGGATGAAGATGATCAGAGAGCAACTGGTTCCCTTCAAAGTCTGGGTATGTTACTATATCATTTATGATTCTCACAGCATTCACCTGTTACTGGATCTAACTAGATTTTGTTCGAGTTTTAGGCTGATGGCATGTCAAAGAAATGGCATGTGGAAAGAGAGAAAGATACCAAAGAGAAGCCTCTCATAAAGGAACTATCAAAGACTTTGGGTGCCAAAACTCCCAACTGAAATGTATAATTTTCTTGACCTTCTGTTGTTCATCTTATATATCTGTATATTATATATCTGTATATTATATATCTGTATATAATAGAGTGTGATATCCAGATCTTCACAGATGGAGTATAGAATGTTACTGCTAGCTAGCTAAGTTATACATAAGATCAGTGTTGCTATTTATGTCTTAGGTTGAAAATATAGAACAGACTTGTTCTTCATAGCTTGTAATCTAAACCAGCTCCATACTTCCAGGCCTCGAGTTGTCGTTTCCACTTGAAATTCATCTTTGGTGTTAGTGAACTTAGGAATGGCCTTGAAAAACACACGATTTGGTAAGAATATAGAAGAAAACTGAACCGAATGTTTCACGAAAAAGAAAGGTGGAAGAAGGTTTGGCTTTGTTTGTCATAACCCATAAGGACCATTTACCTTATAATCGGATCAACAAATGTCGAGAGAATCGTGTAGTAGCCAAGCATGCCGAAATGTCCAGCCCAGTCGAGCAACACTGGGATGCCTACCTAGAGCTCAATAAAACAAGATTCAATATCTATATGGAAACTGAGTCAACAAAGAAATAGAAAAGCTTCAATGATCTCAAATTACAATGGACTTGTATAACTCACCTGTTTGTATATTAATGGAAGAAGTTGAGGTTTAGTTAACATAACTAGACCTAGGGTCTGGGCAAGAGGTACAAACTGCACAACATCCTGTCACAACGAAATAAGTTATCGGTTAAACTATGTTTCCGTTGAATTAACGAACGTGCAGAACTTCCAAAGATTAAGCATATCAAAGAACAAATATGACCTGAAGGAAAGGCCTCAGCACTGGATCCCCCAATCTCTGTGAAGAGAACAAAAGTTTTTTATATCTGAATTGAAGAAACTGTGAGTGTTATTCAATGTATAAGCTTACCTGCATACTCTGAAAGTTTACATGAAGAAGCTCATTGATAAAATATGGAGAAATGTTTGATCGTTGCTTTGCAGACATAGCTCTTTGAAACAACCATGAACTACTTAAATTAGGCTGCAAAAAACATTTATGCTTAGGAAGTTGAATAGTTACACTAAGGGAAAAGTAAATATGTAGCCAGAATTCAGCATGTTAACCAACCATGTAAGGATTCAGCAGTGATAAGCTATCAGAGTCAAGGAAGTTGCCTGTTACAGCTTCATATATCCCTTTTGAAATCAACAAGATACGAAATTTAGCAACTCTTCATATATCCCTTTTAAGACGACTATATAAAGTTGATTTGTTCTTCGTTTTTCCTGTCCTATTGTGGACTGCTTAGTTCTTTATGCAAGAACTTAACTCGAGTCCGCTGCTAGCAGATATGCTCTTTTTTGGGCTTTTCCTTTCGGACTTCCCCTCAAGATTTTAAAATGCGTCTGCTAGGGAGAGGTTTCCACACCCTTACTACAAATGTTTTGTTCCCTCTCCAACCGATATGGGATTTCATAAAGAATGCGTTCATTCTCGCAGGCTTGTAACAGAAACAGAACGCGCTAAGTTTGTACAAGGACGACATACCAGTTGACAACCTCCCGAGGTGCCTAGTCAAGCTCCCAAATCCACCAAATGAAACGGGTGACTGAATGCCACTTGCATCTCCAAACTACAGAGAAAGATTTAGTATTCTGTACGGATATACCGTTTGACAATCAATCTTTTCCAGTTTTGAAATGGTACATCTACATTACCTGTAGAACACGATCAAAAGCAGCTGGCAGCGGGCTGATTAAGTGTATCAGATACTAAATATTAGATTGTGCAGTCCATAGAAGGGGGGAAAAAAGCAACTATTTCAAGTTCTATAAAGATCATTGTACCTGTCACGATAAGTCGGAAAGATGCCATAAAAAATTCTCAATATCTTCAAGTCATCAAGAGAGACTCCCTACCATGGAAACATGTTTAAAACTATCATAAAAGCCATTGAAGTCTTAAAGGGGAATGAATGAGATGTTCATATTGAAATCAGCATGATATGTAAACTAGAAGATAACCTGATATTTTGGCATCAAATCCCAGTATTCTTCTAAAAGGTCTTCAAGTTTAGGTGACCCTGGTTGAGGATCGATATATGTAAACATGTAAGTAGTTCGATCCACAGGCCCCGACCCGGCTGGAAACGCCTGTCAAATTGTAAGAAAACTTGCATCTTCAGCAGGAAAAAGTCTATAATGCTGTCACAAAAACAAAGCTTACTCACCTCCCAGAAAAGTTGAACTTCTGAGATCCCGACCTTTTTTAAGGATGAACTGCTGTAAATGACATCACTTGTTGAGTTATCCTTAAATCCACGAGCACATGATCCAACAGCAAGACAAACACCATCAGGCTTCCTCCCACGTCTTATCTGCAACATGACTATATGCAACATTGTGAGGCCATAAATGGGTTATGTAGCATTCATATATTACAAACTTTTTTCTGAAACAAGGTAGAACTTTACCTGTTTCACCACAGGTGAAAAGTTCCCCATTGCATCAATAGTGAGTTGAGAAGATAAAATGTTCCCATCAGAGAGTTGCATCACCTTTGAAAAAACAAAAGGAATAACAACATGAACTCGCAGCTTTAGCAGCCGTATTGTTAAACAAGTTGCAATAAATGGTATTTTCTAACAATGACCCATTTTCTAGCTACCCACACCTCTCATCATCCTTCAATATGATAGCAGGATCAAATATTTATAACCAAAATCAACTCACAGTCATATCATCGTATATGCAAATGCTTGAAACGTTGCATCCCTCAAAGATGACTCCACCTAGAGAAATGAAACGTTTCTTCACGATCTCTATAAGCTTCTCAGGTCTGCAATGGCAGAATAACCGATTCGGATTTACAGACTGAGTTTGAGTATGATTAAAATATAAAAGTAAAAAGAAAGAAAAGAACTCACGAGATACCAAGATTGAGGATGTCTTCAACCCAGATTTCGCCTTTCCCTTCAAATGCACATCTGTTCTGCAATTTGTAATAGTGCAAGTTGCAGAGAATGTTTGCATACGTTATTGTTAAATAAGCTTGATTTACTTACAGGATTAAACTTCATAGCAGTAGCTTGTTCAATGTCATCTTCTGTTAATACTCCAACTTCAACGAGTTCTATCAGCTCTTTCCTTGAAATGTTCCATTCTTGTTTCCTCTGTCACAACCAACAAAAAACTGTCATTAGAAAGTCCATTTTCATTGATTAAACTCCATTGTCAAGAACATTTACCCCTTTCAGAACATATCTTTCCACTATACCGACACGAAGACCCTTCAAACTTAAAGCTGTGGCTATGAACACTCCCAAAGTACCTCCACAAACCAACACATCAAATGTGTCGGTGGCTTTCTCTCCCAAATCGGAACGGCTGAACGCACCAGAGAGACGACGGACGACTTCCTGTGCGGCTTCTGGAGCTGTAAAACAAGGAGGAAGTCAATAGAACTGGACCTGCCTTGCCTATGCCCCAACAGCTTAAAAGGATCAGATCAGAAAACTTGTCACCTTCTTGGCCAGAGCAAATTCTGGACCAAATTTGATCCAACCTCTTCAAAGCATCGTATGAGTATGCTCCACCAGCACCACCAACCTCCCCTGAAACTGATATGCCCTCCATTATCCTCTGAAAGAACACATTGCAGCCAGAATTCAAATTGAAGGGATAAATGGGAGAGAGCTTTTCAAACCAGAAATGATGTGATTGTGAAAAAGGTGTACCTGGGTTCTAGAAGACTTGAGCTGTGTTTTTATATTAGCTTGAATTCTGGGGTTCTTAGCTGCCGATCTTCCAATTGGGATGGCAGTGAAGAGATTGTGGGATCTGAAATGAACAGAGGCCATGGCTGAAATATCCACAGATAGACCACCGAACTTCCGACCGTAAACCCAAACCCTAAACCCTTCCCTACGATTTCTTCATCATTTATCATCCTATAAGCTGAGATTTGTGATGGATATTGAACCATTATTTGTGAACAAGGAAGGAACACATTAACGACTCAATCTGTCATCGTCTTCGTATATGTTTTCTTTCAACGGAATGGAAAACGTGGGTAGCCCAGAGATTTGGGATAAACCTTTCTATTTCTATGATTCTTGATCCTGTCTATCTCGACTCTAACCAATTATATGGTAACCTTATCTTACAACTCTAATCCTTTCTTGCAAATTTCATTTTTATATTGATGAGGCCTAGGCCCAATCTGATAGTAGACTTTGATAAGCCCAATTCAACTCCCTTGTTCTTCATTTCTTCAGATCTACTAGAAATTCTATGGGTAACATTCTATTATGTTCTTACCAATTTTAGACCCGTCAACAGGTTTGCTCTTCATTTCTTCAAATTTGTTGGACATTTTAATGCTAATCTTCCCATTCTATCTATCTTCTTAACTCTGCAAATTTCTTGCAGGCCCAATTTGATACATGGGTTTTGGATAAACTCTTTTTGACAAACTTCTTTCCATAGATTTCATTACCGGGATTGAAGATAATCAAGAAACAAAACAAAACAAAATAAATAACTTTTTGTTATGGTAAATTATTGTTTATAATTTATTTTATTCTATTACGAGGGCACCCACAAACCCTAACCCTAATCGTAGAAGAAGTAATCGAAAATTGGGGATTTTGTTGAAGAATGATCGATCATCCTCATCAATTTTATTACTATAAATTTCATAAATATCGATGATAAGAGCTTCAAAACCATGAACAAAGTTAATTAAAAAACACGAACAGAGTTAGAAGCACTTCGGAAGTTATGGGTAGAGAGACCTTGCTTATATTTATTTGAAGAAACGGACATTGCTTATAGATAGATAGATAGATAAAAAGAAACGGACCTTCTTCCCGCCATCCTTCACAGAATAATAATATAATTTGATAGATAAAAATCAGAAACAAGGAGACAAATAATGTGATAACAAGAAGAGAAAAAAACAGTGGAAAAGTACATCACATACGTTGAAGTATCAAACGACCAACACTCCCTTTTTTGTACATCCCAAAGCAAACCCTAATTTTCTAATGACTCCCTCGAGCCCTCCAATCACAATCTCACTTCTTCTTCTTCTTCTTCTTTTCAGAAAACCCCCATGAATTAAACATAATTGCCAAACAATCCCTCAAATTAAATTAGTTTTTAAAAAAAGTCATAAAAAATTGAAAATTTACCCCTCCTCTCTTCTCTACCCAACAAAGATGCACATGTATCTTCTCTGCAACTCAATCATGGAAAGGGCTTTTTAAAGTGGTCCCTTTCCTTTCCTTTCACAAAAGGTAAACCAAACCACATGGCTGACCATATTAATCATTATTTTCCCATAAACCCCTCCTTTTCTTTCTATTTCCTTTCTCATCCTTCCCACACAGGCTTACAAATGTTAAAAGTTTGAACCTTTTTTTTCTTGTTACCGACCAGGATGTTCTGCTAAACGACCACGTTTGGAGCTTGCTCTTTTTGACCTACATTACAAAGCTTGCCGTCCGTCACGGTGGTCGCCGTGACGGGTGGCGCTGCATTTTCCGTCTTCTTGATGTTTTGCTGGTGATATACTTGCCTCAGTCTCTCTATCTCTCTTTTTAGTGCCTCTTGATGAGCTGCATGCATGCATGCATGCAAACAAAGTAAAAATAAATAAATAATTACAGTCCTGTAATGGTAAAAAACTTAGAACAATTTATGATGATGCATGCAATTTCGTGAGAAGACAAGAACAAGTGCTAAAGTTCCCTGTTGGCCAAGCAATTTTATAATTCTAAATAGTAATGCTCTTCTCTTTCCTTATAGTGCCCACCACGTTGTTCTTCCTATCTCTCCTTCAGCCAATGGACAATCATTATGCCCATTGCCCCCAGCTGCACGTTACATGTAAGTTTCAATTATGCTTTTCATATTTTGAAAATTTTTGTTTTTATTTTTATTTTTTAACCAAAAAACATCACTAAACATCAAAATTATTGTAACAAAATGTTATTTTTTCGTAAAAATAAAGGATATAAATTGACTTAAAAGATGTTGGGTAACATTTAGAGGGTGTATGTGATATTATCTATTTATTTGTGAATGATTATTACGAATGATGTCATATATGCATTTTAGTTTGTATATATTGGACGTGTCGTAAATTTAAATATTCTTTTTAATAAAATTCAATCGAACAAATTTTAAAGTTTAAGAGCGTATTAAAATAGGAAAAAAGAAAAGACAAATACTTGCCTTAATTAGTTGGTCCAAATAATTTCTAGCATTATGAAAAATTTCCATTATGTTTGCCATATGAGTGACCCGGATTATCGTTTGATTATGAGATAATTAAGGTGGTAAAATAATTAATTAAGAAGATAATGGAACATTTACGTACCATCTTTAAAAATCTTATCCTGTGCAAGGGCGGCGATTCTTTGCTTCAGAGCACTGTTGTCGACGTTGAGAAGCAATCTCTGGTGGTCCAAAAACGCCACTCGCGGCGACAGCACCGAAACTTCAGCCTTCACATTATGAGATAATATACATATCATGCAATTTAATGATGATCATGATGAAATAATTGAGATTATAGATTTTTAATTATTAATTGAGAAATTATTTTGGAATGTACCTGTAACGATGTAACGCTTCGTTCGAGTTCTGATATGTATTGAAGCTTCCTCACTCGTGATCTTTGAGCCGATTGCCGATTTGCCAGAATTCTAAATCGAGAAACGAAAAAAAAAACGACAACCCATTTGAAAATATTTAGATTTGCTTAGACCCAGATGGATTTTGGGATGGAATTTGAAAACCCAGATGAAAGTTTTGAGCTTTATCATGTTAATGGAGGGAATTAAACGATAAAGTTTTCACCTTTTGACTCTTTTGGGGTCTGTTATTCGTTCGGTGGAAGCCGCCGTTGCCGTGGAATTGGATTGTGTTTGAGTGTCCGATTGCTGTTGGCTTTGTACTTCGTCGGTTTCGTTTTTGTTCTGATTTTGCTTGCCGTCGTTTTGGGCATCTTTCTCGTCGTTAATGCTGTTGTGATCAGACGGCGTGGAGGGGTTCGACGACGACACTGTGGGCGCCACGCCGGCGGAGATTTCGTCGTTAAACATCGATAGGAATTGCTCGTCTTCGAATCCATCAAATTCATTCCGGTCGCCGGAGCCAGATCCCGGCGGCGGTGGCGGCGCAGTGGAGCCTCGGCAATCTTCCTCCAGCATTGGCATTTCAAGGAATGTGATGGAATCACTAACGGAGCGCCGGTGAGACCCACGTCTAGCGGAAGAAAAATCGAGAAACTCGTCGACCCAAGAAGGGTTCTGGTGAGCAAACGCCACCGCCGTTGTGGTTGTCGGTGCAAAGGTTTCCATTGAAGGGATTTTCTGACGGGAAAATTCCGGCCAATTGGTCGCCATATTTGGGATCTTCGGCGGTAGCTGTGCCATAGCACAGCCAAACAAAATAGGCAAAAAGAAGAACAAAAGAACACCAAATTCCAAAGCCTCCAAAAACCTCCAAAAACCTCCAAAGCCTCCAAACCAACAATCAATCAGAAATCTCAAAAACAGAGGGAAAAAAAAACGACCAAATTTCGACAGAGCTTCTGAATCTTAAGGCTCTTATAAGAGAAAACAAGATGGGAGAGAATCAGGAAAGTAAATGAAGGATTAAATTAAGAGAGAGAGAGAGAGAGAGAGAGAGAGAGAGAGAGAGAGAGAGAGAAGATTAAAGGGTTTAAATCCGAAATGAATCTTTTTTGCAATCTGAATCAAATGGTAAGAGCAGTGGGCTCACATGGGGGAGGAGATTGGACAGCTATGTCCAGCTGTGGGAGATGGGAATTTGGAAGGGAACCCAAAGGCTTGAGCAGAGAAAGAGGAGGGGATACGGAAGTTGGGCTTCAACGGTATAACTGCAAACTTGCCTCTACTTTTGTTTTTAAAAAACTCTATTAACAGTCCCACTAATCACCCACCACGTGATATTGTAACCCTCTATTTAGAGCCTATCCCTTACAATTAATTATCCTCGATTAACCAATTCCTGCACCAACAAACGATCGTTTGTAATCATCTCTAAAATCTGCATCATTCCTAATAACCATTGAATAAACTTTCATGTTTTAGAACCGTCGGATCTGATCCAATTAAAGAGAGGGCGGGCGATGATGATTAAGTTTGGATTGATGAGAGAAAGCAAGGCCACGTGGGTGTGGGTGCAGCCTTTTTGGTGGAGAAGAGGGGATGCTTGGTTTAGTCGAAGAGGTTAGTGGGAAAATGAAGAGAAGGGAAATGGGTTTAAGAGGATAATGTTTGTGTCACAACCCCCCATGTGAATTGTTTGCACGCTTTTAGCTTTCTTGTGCTTTGTCCCCAGACCACTCCCACATGTAGGGTATATGCCCTTTTATCTCCCCCTCTTCATCTTCTTCATTCCAACTCATTATCCTATACAATTTCAAGTGCCTGCCAGTTCAACCATTCTCTCTCTCTTCCTCTCTCTGTCCTCCCATTTTGTATCAGAGACCTTTCTTCCTTCCTCAAGTCAGAGAGAATTTGGATAAAAGATCGAACAAGGATGGAATGTGTCAAAAGCTGACACATTTTTCACTCAGGCTATGAATTTTTGATTGGGTAAAGATGAAAGACAGAGGCCCTTTTGGAGGATTTGCTACTATCTCTTTCACCTACCCCTGATTTTACTTTTACACAACTTTCATTTGGTTCGTTATCGAATCAAAGGCTGCAACTTCGACAGGGCGATATCGAAAGCCATGTAAGACAAACATTGTAACAGAATTGTTTCTTTTTTGATATGGTACATTGCAGGGGGGGGGGGGGGGGG